AAAAAAAAAAAAAAAAGATAGTTGATTGAAAGTGTAAATGACAATAGTTGGTGGTTTCCAACATGATTTTCCTTTTTTTTTTTTTTTTTAATTTTAGGGAAGGGTGTTCAGGGTCTCACTACTAGGTCAGACTCATAGTGATCTGCCTGTTTACAACCTCCCAAGAACTGGGATTATAGGCCTGTGCCACCACGCCCAGTCTCAATTGCCATATCAGTGTGCTCTGGGGGTGGAGCCAGCATGGTAGGCCCAGGGATCGAATCCCTGTACCTGCTTGCAGGTACTTTAATCCGCTGAACTATTTGGCTGGCCCTCCAAAATTATTTTCCTTTCTTCCACCATTTATAGCACTAAGCCAGGAAGGTAACTATCACCTAGGTAGATAAATGATCATGGTAAGGTGTTACCTGTGACTGATATAAAAATCAGTACCATCTACCCTACCACCATTCGTTTTTACCTTTCAGCTTCAGGAGATATCTGTGTCATTCAAAGATGTGGTTGTGGGCTTTACTCAAGAGGAGTGGCACCGGCTGAATCCTGCACAGAGGGCCCTGTACCGAGATGTGATGTTAGAGACCTACAGCAATCTGGTCTCAGTGGGTAAGAACAGCTTCCTCCATATACTGCATATTATGCTTGACAGACTATCTTGTCTTTGTCAGTCACCAAAACCAACAGAAGTATCTAAAACCTCTCAAGTCCCTAACTTACTTAATCATTACTTAGTACTTTCTATGCGTTGGACAGTTTTAGCAACTCTTAAAATATTAACTCATTTAATTCTCCTAAAAGCTTTATGAGAGACCCTTATATTTTACGCCAACCCAAAAATATTTTCAGTTCAGCCTGTGTTTCTTTAATGTCAGCTCACATCTCAGCCCCATGATCAGGTTCACCCATTTTAATCTTGTGTCACACTCATCCAGTATAAAGGTCAATTTACTCAGAGTTCTGGTGTAGAGTCTATCACTTAAAACTGTATTTACAAAAAATGCTATTATTGTCATAGAGAAGGGTCTACAGTATTTTATCTGAGTTGGACATGAAAAGTCAGTGAAATGGGTATTGTTTTTCCAATAAATAAGACTAAATAAGTAATGTCCTTCTGTGTGAATTTTGCATTAATTTTATAAGATACTTTCTTCACAAAGTCTTCTGTTTTTTCTGATTGCTATGTCTTTCATTTATCTGTATAATATGGGACTGAGTATTCTCTAACTTGTTTCTCTTGCTATTTATATGCTGCATATCTACATTAATAGATCCAAGACTAGGGTGTAGCTTAGTGATAGAGCATTTGCCTAGCATGTAGTAGTTCTAGGGTTTAATTCTCAGCACTATCTCCACCACAACAACAAAAATAGACTCAAGCTTTGAGGAAACATCCATGTCTGATTTTCTTTGTTATCCTGCTGTACTGTATAATGCTATAGATACAGGAAGAATGCAACAAATGTTTTTAAAGGAATGGGCTGTAGAATGGACCCTCTGGACTTGTACCTGTAATGTTTTATGGTTAAGAAAGGGCTTGTGTCTAGACATGAGTACAGATAAGGACATCATCTCTATACCTTGTAAACAAGGTAGCTATGGTAGAAGTGTTTCTGGATGCCTTCCCAATAAGTAATGCAAGAGGATATCTCTCAAGTTAACCTCAGTTGAACTATACTTACAACAAAGAGCCAAACATTAGCATTTTTTTTCTGACCCCACCCCAGCATTTTCTTAATGTTTTTAAATAAATGTTTTGTTCTTTTAAATTACTACATATGCCTCAATTCCTATTTTTCCCATTCCTCTCTCCTTCCTTCAACCTTTCTTCTCTTCCTCATTTACAAAATGTTTGTTTCCATTTTCTTTATTTTGAATTCCTCTTCCCTTCCTTTCCTTCTTCTTCCCCTCTCCTTTTTCCCTTTCCCATTTGAACATGTTCTTCTCAATATCTATCTTCATTTTGCTCCTCTTTTACCCTTTGGGTTTCTCATCCAAGAAAATGTGATATTAAAATTTGTGCATCTTGGGGCCAGGGAGAAGGCTCAGTAGAATTAGTGTTTCCCTGGCAAGTGCAAGGGCCTGAGTTCAATCCCTGGTACTGAAAAGAAAAAAAAAAAAGAATGCTATGGGAAGAAGGGAGCCCTTCTCAGTTGTTGATAGGAGTATAAATTTGGTATAAGCACTAAATGAGTATCGAGATTCCTCAGAAAACTAAAACTAGAGATTCTATTTAACCCAGCTGTGCGCCCATAGCATTTAAAAAAAAAAAAATGTATGTTTACTCTTTTATGTGTGTGTGGGGGGTGTTGATTCTAGGGCCTTCACAGTGAAATATACTGTAGACTTTTTAAACTTTTTTATTTTGAGACAGGATCTTGCTAGGTATTGTCCTTGAACTTGCAATTCTCTTACCTTAGCCTCTCAGAGGGCTAGAGTTACAGATGTGCCACACACTCAGATTTAATCACCTTCAATGCTAGAGTTACAGATGTGCCACACACTCAGATTTAATCACCTTCAATGTTACGCTTAAACTTTTCCACATCTTCTCACATTTTCCTTATCTATTCCATGTATACATTTGAAAGCTAGAGCCCCCAGGGTGTGCTGAGATGACAGTTGAGATTGGGTATGGTTTTGGCACATACCTGTAATCCCAGCTCTTGGGAGGCTGTAAATAGGAGAATCACTAGGAGTCTTATCTAGTAGTGAGACCCTAAACACCCTGGAGACCCTTCCCTAAATACAAAAATAAAAATAAAAATAAATAAATGAAAGCTAGAATATTACATTCTTAAAATGTTAATTAAAAAAATGTTAGTTAATATCTAGTACACTGTGATCTGAAGTTTAAAAACAATGAAGGATTGAAAGTAAACTTATAGGGGCTGGTGAGATGGCTCAGTGGTCTAAAGCACCTACTTAGAACAAGCTTACCAAAGCCCAGGGACCACGGTTCAATCCCCCAGCACCACATGCCTGCCAGCCCGCCCCCTGGTGGGTTGAGCTGGCCACACACACACACACACACACACACACAAATTTAAAAAAAAATAAATAAATACATCAAGTTTAAAAAAAAAAAAAGTAAATTTATAAAAAGCTTTATGTCCTGCTACTGTTTTACAGATTTGGAAATTTAGGCACAGAGGGGTATAGTCTCTTGCACAGAGTCACCCACCTTATATATTGTGGAGCCAGGGTTTGAACCCTGGCATTCTGGCTGTAGAGTGCATTCCTAACCCTTACGCTGCTCTGTTTCTGTGGGTTCAGCCTGACTTTCAGTGATCCTAGATTACTAATTCCATTGGTTCTGTACAAGGTTTATGTACAGTCCCCTCCCAAGTATAACATGTATGTGTAGCCTTTAAAGCTGTCTAGGAGGCCCCAAGGAGCTTGGCCTAAGGTCTAAATTATTTCCCTGGAACAGGTTATGAAGGCACCAAACCAGATGTGATCCTTAGACTGGAACAGGAAGAAGCACCATGGATTTGTGAGGCATCATGCCCAGGCTGCTACTGTCGGGGTAAGTGTGATAAACCCAGAAAAAGGGTACTGTGTAACATTGGCACCTTTGAAATTTTGTTTAAGATGTCACTTTTAAAAGACCTGAGCACTCTGTGCTTCTTGATCCTTTGCCCTCCATGTATTCCTTCCTCCCTCTTCTTCCTGTTTCCATTTAAATGCTTGGTTTGTTTCCCTTTCTCCTTGATTACCTAATATGTCTCTTTCACATTCAGATTTCTTGCACTTAGTTTGTATGATTTT